AGAAAAAAATAAATAAATATATATATATATATATATATATATATATATATAAAAAGATAATTGCAACTTCAACGTGCAATTCTGACTTTCTCTTAAAAGTCTGAATTGTGAGATAAAAAGTCGCGATTACATTTTTACATTTTTTTTTTTTAGACTGGCACAAAAAACAAACAAAAAACAGAATTTTGTAATGTAAACTTAGGATTCTGAGAAAAAAAAAACGTCAGAATTGTGAGATTTAAACTCAAAATTGAGAGAATTTTTATTTTTTATATTTTACAATTTAGAATTTTTTCTCAAAATTGCAAGAAACAAAGTCCAAATTATGGGATATAAACTCAGTTATAAAAACAGTTCCATTTAAATTTTTACATTTTTTTACTCAGTGGTGTAAAAATAAATAAATAAAACAAATAAACCCCACACTTTTGAATGGTAGTGTACATAAACTATAAAAAAAATATATAATTTTTTTATTAATTAGCAAAATAATATATTCATCTGACTATAATTTTCTTAAAAGGGGTGAATTTGTTTTTCGATGGAATCAGTGGTGGAATAAATGCAACTAAAGACAATTCCTCAGAGAGAGCATTTTAAGCTGAAAATCTGATATTAATATGATCATGCTAAAGCTCAGTGTTCTAAAACGTTCACTGTGAAGTTGTGTCTCTAAATGCATCCCCTTTAAACTGCAACAAAAATATTTAAGCATAAAAAAGAAAAAGAAAATCTACTATTTGAACTAATTTTTGGATGTCTGACTAGCTGATCATAAACGGACGAGCATGTTTATTCACTAAGAAGCTAATCTGTCGTTGTGTGTGAACAGTGAGTCTGGTCTCTCTCTGAACGTTTTCTGTCTAACCGACAGAACTTGTGGTGCTAACTGGACCTACACTGGTGAGCGTCATCCTGTACATTTTTGGTGCTGTTATTATTTTAGACATTATGGATTTACACTTGATTTGATGATGGTCCGTGCAGGAGTAATGTATCCGCGCTCATGTAGCACTAGTCGTGATGGTGCATGGATTGGTAGTTTAGCGTGTTAAAGGCTCGCGTATATTTCCTGTGTGTTCTGTGAAGGCCTTAAGCTTCAGCTAAGTCAGGTGTCAAAGGTCGTGCCGCCCATCGGCTACATGTTGGTGCTAGACCCTGATTCATGTTTACAGTTTCTGTAACTTTAGCAAAGATGTGGTTTTCTGTTTGCTTTGCAACATGGTATCATTTATTCTCCAGACTAACGTCTCAGTTCCTCCAACTCATTAGCATCTGTGCTAATCGCAATCATCCTCATTGTCATGTGTATCGTATTGCCATCCTGATTATGTTAAACGATTCCAAATGAAGGAAACAAACGAAGTCTGAAAAACATGTTTATACTTTTTCATTCTGTATATAGCCCTGTATTTGTGATGTATCTGTTGACGATCCATTTCATTGATCAATAAACTCATTTGAACATATTTCCCCTGAGCATTTTTGTGTTGATCTACCTGTACCATCATCATGCATCCTCATTTTCACTCTGTTGTGGTTGATTCATTATTATTCCTAGTCCAAACATCACTGTCTCTGGAAAAAAAAAAGAAGAAGTTTTTGGTAAAAACTAAATACAGTAAACTAAATAAAAAAATTAAATACATATAAAAAAACTAGACTCAAAACTATAAAATACTTTATATGAGAATGTATAAAATATAAGTAGAAACATTTGCCCTAAAAAATTCCATCAAAAATATTCACCAAAAAAGGAAATAAAAAAACTGAACTAAAACTAAAACAGATTAACTTTTTTTTACACTAACTTTAAATACAAAAGCAAATTGACAAATAAAATAGAAATAAAAACTCAGAAAGTATACAAAATGATAAATTCAAAAAGTATAAAATGTAAAAAAAAAGCTAAAATATTAATTTAAAAATATTCACACACATACACAAATCTAAATACACAGAAAACTTAGAAAACTAAAACAGATTAAAACGTACAAACTAACTATAACTGAGCTAAATAAAAACAAATAGAAATAAAAACTAAATTCAAAATTCAAAACTATTGTATATAAGAATGTATAAACATTTTTTTTTTTAAACATTTGCTCAAAATAAAACTCTAAAACAGATTTCAGCATAAAAACTAACTAAACAAACTAATTGACAATAAAATTGTCTAAATTAAACTAAATTAAAAAATAAACTATCAGATATTTTATGTAGGTTTTATAATGTATAAAATATGAATATAAAGCATTTTCTCAAATAAATGCATTAAAAGTATTCACACACACACACACACTCAAAACTAATATTTCTGAATAAAGAAATTAAGACAATAAGCTTTTCCAGATGTTGCCAAATCATTTCCAGGGTATTTTTATGAAAACCTTCCACTTCGTAATGTGATAGGTTTAAATAGGCTGTAAATATGTTGCCATAATTACAAAGTCCTTTTAATTAAAGCGCTTAGTGTTCTTTTAAATAACATTAGATATGAGATTTTCACAAACATTGATTCATAATGTCTTTATGAGTGTCTCCAGGCAGATGTGCATGGATGCAGCCCAGCTAGGAGCCACAACTGCAGTGAGAGCTCATTATCCTCATTAGTCGGACTGTGCTAAAGTGATTCGAACTGCAGGAAGAAATTAGCTCCATTTCTCAGAATATTGACTTGCTCATGGGGTTCATTCTACTCTCCACGCCTACTGACTTTTCTGAAATATCACAATATCGCTAAGACAGAAACAGCAAACACCCACACACACTACCAACAGACAACATAACCTATAGACTCCATACACAAACATAACACACAGGCTGTCAAAATAGCTTACTT